GTCTGAAGCGTCTGTCATAGCAAATCAACACATGCTGTTGTGAATAATTAAGCGAAGCGTCTTCTCATTGGATAAGAACACGCAGTCTCATGAATAATTTAATAGACACCGAAGCGTCAACGATGTACTATTGTCCTTTGCCACGTCACAAATTGTGACGTCAACACGATGTAGATTTTAAACCCAGAAGATGAAAATAGTGCAAAAAAGCTTAAAATTGACCAGTTTTCTCCAACAGTTACAATTATCGGACGCTAACATTGTCTTCTATGATGTGCAACACAAACACCTCTGCTAAAATCTCAGAAAAAGTAGTCTGGGGTTTCATGACCCTTTAAGTTGTTTTTGAAAGAAGCCTTCTAAGCTCACCAAGGCTGTAATTATTGGATTAAAATACAGCTTAAAACAGAAATTCTGTGAAATATTATTGCAAGTAAAATACCTATTTTCTATCTTAATATAATTGAAAATGTAATTTACTCCTGTGATGGTTCCTGTGTCACATGATCATTCTAAGACGCTTATTAGGTGCTCAAGAAACATCTATGATTATTAACAACATTGTAAACCTTCCTTGCAAAATAAAGGCATTCTATTTTTTTTTTAAAGAAAACACTTCTGAACATTAGTTTATGCGTCTTGTATGCTCTGTGTTTGTGTTTATAGGATGGCTCCAGAGGTGGCGGCAGTGGAGAAGAATGGAGGTTATAATCATCTGTGTGATATCTGGGCTGTTGGAATCACATCCATAGAACTGGCAGAACTACAGCCTCCCATGTTTGACCTCCATCCCATGAGGTATAAACACACACACTTCTTGCCAATGAGCAGACATGTTTTTAACCAAGGCATTTGCTCTGGGCCCAGAGTTATAGTGAATCTTAATAACTTAATTATGTGCAAAAATCCTCTTTGTTTGGAGCCAAGATAATTAACCATTAGACTACCACCAAATTCTCATATAATTGCTCAGAGATTTGTATCTTTCTGTGATCTCCTTCTTTCTTCCTTTTTGCGTGTATGTCCAGGGCTTTATTTCTGATGTCTAAAAGCAACTTCCAGCCACCCAAGCTAAAGGACAAGACCAAATGGTGAGTCTCTCTGACCTGTTTGTATGTGTATGTTTGCATATTTGAGTTATAGAGAAATATAGAGTGTGTTCTGAATGAGTGTTTTACAAATAAAATCACCAGTCCCTGTTTCTTTCCCTTTCTGTCTTAACTGTCTTGCTTTTCCGCAGGTCTACAGCCTTCCATAATTTTATAAAAATTTCCCTCACAAAAAACCCAAAGAAGAGGCCAACAGCTGAGAAGCTGCTCTCGGTAAAAATGTCCTCTCTTTGTCTATTTTATCTGTTTATGATTTCACACAGTGCAGCTCTTTAAGCTGCTCTCAGTAAAAATGTCCTCTCTACATCTCCATTTTATCTGTTAATGATTCCTCACAGTACAGCTCTTTAACTCATTCAGTAGAAGTTTATGTGCACATGCAATGAAATATAAACTCATGTAACAGAGAATTGTGCACTTGAACTCAATACCGTATCTTGAAAGAAGTATCTTATGCTTACCAAAGCTGCACTTATTTGATTAAAAATTAAGTAAAATCGGTAATGTTTTGAATAATTACAATTTGAAATAACTTTTTCAATTTGAAAACAATTTGAAATCGCAGTATGCTGCTGTAAGAGTATCACAATCGAAAATATGCATAGATGTGTAATATTAAAAATGTGTTCAACCCACACCTGTGTCCATTCCGTCAATATTAATTATTTTCTTGATGACATTCCTCTATTCTGTTATTTTTGTCTGAATGTTACATAGGCTACATCACAAGCAGCCATTTACACTACATTGTCTCTGTGTTTGCATGCAGCACTTATTTGTGGCTCAGACAGGTTTGACTCGACGGTTAGCTTTAGAGCTACTTGATAAGATGAACAACCCAGATAATCATCAATCTCACTTCAGCCAGGGAGATGAAGATGACTTGGAGGTAACTCATGTGACTTTTGTGTTTGTGTGATGTGCATGTATGAAAGAGATGGCAAGTTAGTATGTAAATGTACTCTGTGTTAGTGTGTGAGAGTTTCAGTGTATGAGTGTGAGTGCGCATGACTAAATGGTAAATGTGTGCAAACGATTGTCTGTGGTGGTATACATAGTTTTACTATGATTCTTTCTCTGGTCCGCAGCCGCTTTCAGAGCGCCACACCATCCGCTCGTCCCACAGCAGGAACTCTCGTGCTGAAAAGACCCAGTCTCAGATCAACTGTACGTCAATCACAGGCGTGATTATGAGTGTCTCCCTGTCTTGCCTATCCCCAATGAACCCCAAAACTGTTCCACTAGCTGACAGAATGTATTTTGTGTGCTCCATTTACTGCCTAGCTAGAAAGCTTACATTTCATTATATAATACTGGTCATCTTAACCATCAAAGTAAAGTAATAGCTTTACTAAAAGTTACTCATTGGGATCCAAACAGAGTAAGGCTGTGACACATGGCATAAAATAAGGAGCCTGGTGCCTCTGGTTAAAGATTTGTGTAACTGATCTGTTGTATTTGTCAGATGAGAATTTGTGATGGTTAAAGATTTAAAATGGCATACATACGTTGCTACTCTATAATTTGTATAGTTTGTATAGAAAATTTATCTAAACGTGAGTTTAATATGAAACAGTCTCCCATTGGGGACATTCAAGGATGTCCTCATTTGGAAAAATGTTTTTGTTTTGTTTTGTTTTTTATTCTAACAATGCAAAGTTTTCGTTTATGGTTAGGATGTGGGTTATGCTTGTAGAAGTCTATCATATGTCCTTGTTTAGATAGCTAATTCAACATGTGTTTGACCTTTACTCATGAACATGATGTACCACCACACACTCCAGACCACATTCATGATAAGTGACATCTCTTGGTCTTACTCTGCTCTTGAAGAGTTTTAGCTCGTATTTTTAGTTCAGATATAAATGCATAGTCTTGAGCCCCCCTGTGGTGGAGATGTGGTACTACAAGTTTAGACTTCAGCTTGAACTTTGTCACAATTTTTGTACAAAGCAACCCAGTAGTGTTGAACAGAATGTTAAAAATATTGCAGAGTGCAATGTCTATGGCATGCTAGGTTAAGAAGTGCAGTAATACGTTTTCTCTCGTCTCTGTATTTCAGTTAATAGGCTTCAGTTTGAGCCCCCCATGAGGAAGGAGACTGAAGCAAGTGCTGAGATGGTGAGAGAAGCATTGGATAGTCCAGATTGTCAATACATCACTAATATTAATCAAACAGACACAAACACACACACTACAGAATAAACCTGCAGTTCAATAAGATTATTAGTGTCATTGTTTGATAAGCTTAAAACCAAACATTTTCCATGCAAATATCTACATGAGTAAATGGACTGTTTGCCCAGAACAGGTATGCAATGAAACCTGACTTGCATGTTTTTAAAAGGGAGTGTGTATGTATGGTTCTTTCTTTGCAGGATGTAACTAAGGACAATGATTTCTCCTCCCCCTGGAGCCCATTCACAGAGGGTCCCATCGCCTCCAGGTAACCATTAAAAGTTTTCTTTGTGACTTTATGAACGATTTGATTCCTGCTACTGCCGCCCGCATGAAAACGCCACAAGCAGTCATTTCCCTGTTCTGTCTGCATCGTTTCTCTGACGTCCCCACAAGTCTACGCACTTCCTTCTTTCTGCAGAATCTCGCATGAGCTCTGCTTGCATTCCCTCTACTTTGACTGTTCTGTTGTGTTCTTTCTTTTCCCCGTTTTCCTTTACTTTTCCCTTTTGTGCACTCCTCCACTGAAGGAGTCTTCTGAAGAGCGTTGAAGAGGAGTTGTTTATACGGTAAAGAATTGGTTTGTGTAGCTGTTATTTAACAGAACCAAGGAAACTTCCATGCAGGGTTTAAAATTAACTCTCGCCAAGAGCCCAAATAAAAGTAAAAACTGGCTTTTAGTGTTAAAGGAAATTAGTAAAAATTAATGTATGTTGTAAATCATTGCAATATAAATGGTAAAATGCAAAATATGGTATCACATTTGGTAAAAAATGTGATATATGTTGAACAAATTTTGTTCCATTATTCAGTTTCTAAGTAACTAATTAGCTCATTAATATTGTCTCTTTCTGTCCATTTCTCTCTCTGTCTGTCTCTGAAGAGGGCACTTGGCGCCATTAGAAGATGCTTTTGAAGATGTTGATCTGTAAGTGTGGCTACTCTTAAACTTTAAACATTATCTTAAAGACTTTATATTCTTCTGGGGCTTGCTTGTAAGGTATCATATTCTGTAAAATCAGCATGGAAAAAATATGTGCTGTGAAAATTGCAAAATTAATCACAAGCAAAAACCAATTAAGTCATTCTAGTCTTTTTCACTCCGTTTCATCTCCCCCCTCTCAGTTCAACTCTTAAACAGGGAGTGCCACCACCGCTTCCTCCTAAGGTAACTGTTAGTGTGTGTACAAATGTCTATATTACATTTTTTTATTGGTGTGTTTTTTAAATTCTTATTCTTATCAGCCCTCTCAGGCTCGGTCGAGCAGTGTGTCCGATGAGTTTGGTTTGAGCGACGGGGCTCAGACGGTGCGGAGGTTCACGGGCTCTGATAACGGGCCTGTACCAGTGTCTCGCAGACAGAGCACACCTGAGAGAGGAAGTAACACAGAGCACATCCACTCAGACTACATGTCTGTGAGCGTCAGCAGCCCAGAGCTGCTCTCACACACCGCCGACCACGGTAAGACACACGCTTATTCTCCAAATCATGTTTATACACAGATACTGTTCATGTACCACTCTCATATAGAAGTCTATAATGCTCACCAACTGGTGAAATTGGTGTATATTGCTGATTTGGTGAAATATACAAAAATATTTGACCACTGAAGTTGACTAATCAGAATGACATATTTTACAAAATCATAATAAATTACTGAATATTTCAAATTTCTCTCTTTTACTTTCTATAGAGGAAGACTCAGACGAAAGTGTAAATGGAGATGTTTCAAAATCACCTCCCGGCCGTCCCCAGAGGAAAGAGAGAAAAGATTTTCCTGTAAGTGTGTGTGTGGGTATGTGTCCTGCCGAGACGTGTGTGACGCATGAAAAGAATGTTGCGCTCTACTCATTTTTCTGTTCTCTTTTTATAGAAACCTGCTATTAACGGCCTGCCGCCCACTCCCAAAGTCCTGGTGAGTGCCATCATCACACATCACTTACACTGTGCTAAATGCTAATATCTTCCAATCTCACTATTCAACAGCTATTTTCTCAGTCCTTTATTTTAATTCTGTATTTTCTAACTGTCATAAGCTTACATATTACCTCTCTACGTGTCTGCAGATGGGAGCTTGTTTCTCAAAGGTTTTTGATGGTTGTCCTCTTAAAATTAACTGTGCCACTTCATGGATTCACCCAGATACAAAAGGTAAAGTGCCGATAACCGATGGATGTCTGTCTGATATTAAATTTGATACTATTTTGTATAAGTAAATAAAAAGTCTGGGGTCAGTTTTTAATGGGTAAGATTTTTGTAGTGTTTTTAGTGTCTTCTTTATGTATAGTGTAAGTCTCTAATCCTCACCAATGCTGCATTTATTTTGATCAAAAATACAGTAAAGCAGTAATATTTTAAAATATTGCTCAAATTTAAAAAGAACTTTTTAGTGTTTTAATGTATTTTTATAATGTAATTTCTTGTTGTGATGGCAAAGCTGAATTTTCAGCGTCATTACTCCAGTCTTCAGAGTCACATGATCCTTCAGAAATCATTCTGATATGCTGATTCTTAATATGATCGGTGTTGAAAGTAGGAATGTTCATTTCGGTTATTTCTCCTAACCGACAACTGATGCTCGTTAACTGATTATTAACCGTTAACCGACAAGATTATTTTAAATTAGAATTGAATTAAATTAGAAAGGATAAGTGTCTGTGACCCGTTAAAAATACTAACATTTGTTTTTCGGGGATTAATTTTACATACGCAAAAAGTAGCAAACAACAAAACATGAGGATTCACATGGTCATCATATCACATCACGCACCTGCAGCGCTTCTGCGATCGGAGAAAAACATAATAAAGCTAGGTTATATATATATATATATGTAACAAATAAATAGGCCTATACGAGAAATATATTTTTACTTAAATAATAGATTAAGAAAACGAAAGAAAAACTGTGCAACAAGTAGCCTAGTATGCAGAGTTTCGGTTCATTTTTGTGCTGTGCGAAAGGAAACCAAGACGGCAGAAAGCGGCATCCTGTTTTTATTGTGAATGTACACAAATAAAAGCAAACCTTTTACAATTCCGATTATCTTAGTTGCACTGCTCAGTTTAAATATGTAGTAAAATCTGTGCCGTTAAGCGTTATCACCGTACCGCCGTGATGTTATGCAAACATTTTGTTTTACGTGGATATTGGAACGCGAGTGAAGTACATAATAAATAATATTTTGGCATTCAAATACATCGTGAATACGGAAACATTTGATTTTGTGTCGAATGAGAGACCCAACGTTTGTTTCAGCCTAAATGAATTTGTTTTGGCTTGTCGCTTATATCTATAGCTTTTTATATTTTTAATTCTTGTTCTTTTATAAATACTGTTAAATTGAAAGGATTTGTTGTGGAGTGAGGGGAACTAACGTAGCCTAGCTATGTTTACAGTGTTTATTATAATGTTTGTAAACATTTCGCTTTTTTTATTTTGTATTTTTTTATACGCATAGCGTATTTTAACCATGCAGCAAACCTTTTAAAATATTTTGAAAAATTGCTGAAAAAAATAAATAAATAAATGACTTTTTAAACCATTTAATTGATTGTATTAATCAGTCAAAATTCTTACGGTCGGTTAACGGTTAACAGGTTAAAATGAGCATCCCTATTTGAAAGCAGTTGTCCTGCTTAGTATTTTTTATTTTTTATTTTTTGTGGAAACTCTGGATTCTTTAATATCAGCCTGTAAACACTACTACTTTTGGTTGTTGTTTGTTTTAGACCAGTATCTGATATTTGGCACTGAAGACGGAATCTACACTCTGAACCTAAATGAGCTGCATGAAGCCACCATGGAGCAGGTACAGCCTAAACTCTGACTTTCAACTTTACCCTTGACCTTGAATAGACAACAGGTCCATGAACTCATCACCTGCTGTTTTGATGTGTTTCAGTTGTTTCCACGGCGATGCACGTGGCTGTACATAATCAATAATAATCTGATGTCATTATCAGGTGAGTGAGAGTGATGTGGGAGCGGCTCTTCTGTCTTTCTGTTACTGAGATTCTCTGCAGTACCTACATGATCCCTGTCTGTCTGACTGTCTGTTTCTCTCTGTTCACGGCTGATTTCACTGCTTGCTGGCTCTTCTAATGCCTAAATCACCATAATCAGAAGGTAAAATGTCAATCCTCTGTCCTCTAGGCCCACACGCACACAGCTAATATCACATCATCTTTCTGGCCTCATTCTTAATCTGATTTTGATTCAACTTGCATAACTACACAGCTCAGCTTTTCTTTGTGCTGGGAGTAATGACTATTCATTTCTGCGGAGCATCATTTTCCATTCTCATCAGCACAAACGATATGAATTGTGTCATACGTTGGATATCCTGTATGTAGTCATACACTGTGTATGGTATGCATGTGATGTGTGTTATCTCTCGTTTAAAGGGAAGACGTTTCAGTTGTATTCCCATAATCTGATTGGGCTGTTTGAACAGCTCAGGAAACCTGGACTGGCCACTCAGTTCCACACCCACAGATTCCCTGACAGGATACTGCCCAGGTACACAGACACACACAGTTTTTGCACATTTCACAGTATATTTGCCATGGTTTTATTAACAACATAAAATTAAGAAACACTGTGAATATTGTTGTTAGCCATTCCTAAAGCAAGTGTCATTACACTTAGAGCAATTCTTTTAATAGTATAATAGTTTGGTTATAATAAATTTAAACTAGCAAAAATAGATTTTTTATGTATTAATGTATTTAGGTTTTTTGTATTAAAATAAATGTCAGAAACATGTCTTAAAGACACAAGATGTAGTGACATTAAAAATCTAATAAAAAATCAAGGCACATTTTTAATTATATATATATAATATATATTTAATAATAAGATTTATTAATTATTTATATGTTATATATATACACACACACGTGTGTGTGTATAATGTATATTTAATTTTAAGATTTAATTTTTAATTTAATATTTTTTATTGAAAAAATATTTTATTTTATAAGATTTTATTTAAAAATAATATTTTATCCTTTATACATTTTATACATTATTTTATATAAATCTATTATATACAATTTATGTTTAATATTGTTTTATTATACAGTGGATTATTTATTTATACAAAAATATATTTTTAAAGCTATTAGTTATATCACTGACCTGTGATATATGACCTTTTAGTATTATCTATTAGGGCTATGACGATATTATCATATATCGACGAAGTCTCGTAAGTATCGCAATGTCGATGTCAACAGTTAGGTAACAGACGATTATCGACATTATCGGGAAATATACACACACACATGTGTGTGTGTATAATGTATATTTAATTTTAAGATTTAATTTTTAATTTAATATTTTTTATTGAAAAAATATTTTATTTTATAAGATTTTATTTAAAAATAATATTTTATCCTTTATACATTTTATACATTATTTTATATAAATCTATTATATACAATTTATGTTTAATATTGTTTTATTATACAGTGGATTATTTATTTATACAAAAATATATTTTTAAAGCTATTAGTTATATCACTGACCTGTGATATATGACCTTTTAGTATTATCTATTAGGGCTATGACGATATTATCATATATCGACGAAGTCTCGTAAGTATCGCAATGTCGATGTCAACAGTTAGGTAACAGACGATTATCGACATTATCGGGAAAAAATTACAAATGATAAACCTAGTAAGTTGCAAAAAATATTTTACATAGCCCCATAGTCACCATACAGGTTTTTTTGCATGCAAGAATTAAATAATTTAGTAGGAGGGTTGGGAATCGAAAAGCTATTCCAATTTTGGAAATCGGATCAGATGCTTAAGGTCAGGAATCAAATTACTTGTTATAAAATTAGATTTTGATTCTGCTTCTTGATTCCTGTATGCGCATTTATTGTGATTTCAAAAGATTCAACTGCAAGAAGACGAAATAGAACTCACTTCTGCACTCGTGCACTGTTTTCCGCGCTGCGCAGTGCGCACTCACACACACACAAAGCGCACGCACAAAAGCCGCCTCTTACGTGAACACTGGACTGAGCTCTCTTTCTCGCATTCTTACACATTCGAATGGACAAATACACACAGAATTATATCAAAATATCCCATAAATACAATCGGTTATTTCTTAAGTAAACGTAAGGGTTGAGAAAGAAAACAAGGGTGTATTAGATCCGTGCATTGACAGCAGCCGCTGCCGCCAGTCATTAATGTTAATCAAAGAACAAAAGAAAAAAAATCCCTCACTGATCTTGACTGAATCACTTTTGTAACCTCAGTTTATATTTGATTTGCCTGCATGTTGTTCGGCACTACTGTAATGGCAACGTGCATCTGTGTATGCGATTATTTTGGAGATGCGTTCCAATATAATTTATCCTTATTTAGGGTATAGGCCTATTCTATTTTGAGCTGCAGTTTAATAAAAGTTAAACAGAAAACATACAAAAAGTAGCACTGCATGTGTTTCTGAATATTTATTTAAACGGACTGTTTAATGATGAAAAACCACAAACGTGACAGTTATAATTAAAATACGCAAATTCCTTCAGCGCACATTTCAGTGCAATATTTTTACAGATTTTGTAAAC